CATGGGGGATTACAATTTCGACCTTGTTCCGTGTTCGTATCATCAGTCTAGGCGTATTAAGGGATCAATTCGTTAGCCGTGGAGACAAGAGAAATATGAATTTCAGAACACCACAAGGGCCTCGTAACCCCCATAAAATTTTACATCCTGCTTTGAACTAAAAATACTACTAATTGTTTCGTCAGTACTATCACGCCGAGGCCCAGTGTTTGCCTTTGGAGTCATTTTTCCGGGATTCGAGTCCCTCAGAGGACGGGTGGTAGGAGGATGCGACTAGGGCGAAGGTCTGCGGCGATAGCTGCGCTGGAAGATCTTTCAGGAGCGGATCGGCTTACCGGATAACGTCCACTAGGGGAGGGCGGGAGGTATGAATGTCTGGAGAAGAGGCAGAAGAGCCTCTTTTCAGGTCGCTAGGCCACCATGTCGTGTTTCCTTCGCTCGGCCCCTCTTCTCTGAGAAGCTGGGCTAAACGGCAGGCAAGCCAGCAATCGGGTGGGCGCACTCACTTGATTGCCTGAATATTTGGCATAAACTTTTTAATTATTCATCATTTCGCGAGCTCTCCCTTTGCCGGAGACAGAGACGTTGGATGGACTGTGTGAAAAAGTGGAATGAATAAATAAATGTCTGTCCATCATTCCGTACAGACGGATTAAGGCAAGTTATGCAAGTGGTTATGCCAGAATTGCCAGCAAGACGCCTACTCTCTCGGCACGATATGGAGGGGTCTTCCACCAAAGCATGTACCCGAGAGAGCCAGCCTATCGTTCGTGGCCGTCTCGGGTGAAGCTACCGACAGCTCATTCGGCCTGGCTACGCCACCCTCGTCTGTGCAGGCGTCCGGCTCGGCAGGCATGCATGTATGCTTGTGTGTTGGAAGCTCTGTTAGACTCACGGATGCATACAGCAAAACTGGTGTTTACGCTGTCAAGGCGACGCGTCGACGATTCGATCGCCAGTTGGCGTTGGGCAGGAGAGGAGTGTGAGAGTCAATCTCCGGACATCACGCCGACTGGCTGGCTGAACCCCTGGGCACAAGATTAGACGAGTTCATAGACAGATGTGCCCCGCATGGGAATGCAGGTGTCGAGGAGGACGACCCAAGAGTGTCTCTGTCTGCATCTAAAGCCTCGCCGTCCATTGCTTCGGGACTCGGTAGAGGGCATCTACTCGATGACGGGGTTTGAATTAAGGCATACAAGAAGTTGAAATAAGTCATGGGGGTACACTGGAGGCTGAAAGGAAGGTGTGATTTTGCTGTCGCCAGCACTTCTGGATGCCATAGAGGCGACCTTGAAGCCAACAAGTGGCAGTGTGATCCCATTTCCACTACAACAGACACAATCACACCTCCAAACAGGGCTTGGTTGGGAGTTTTGTGAATACCTCAATATCACTTGAGAGAAAAAGAGGGT